AACCTGAAATCTGAATTGTTTAACACAAAGCTGAATGCAACAGAAAACATGAGGTGGCATATTTGCTTTCAAGTGCTGTTGTGGATTGAATTCTGCACTCCTAAAATACTTTTTGTAAATCCTAACCTCTACGCCTGTGGTTATAACCTATTTGGGAATGGGATGTCTTTGTTATGTTAATGATGCAAGATTAGTGTAGGGTGTATCTTGATTCAACCTCTTTTGAGATATAAAAAAGATTAAACAAAACAGCAGAGAAGAGATGGGGTAACAGAGATGCCAAGACACATGGAGATCTCCAAGCAAACAGGAAGCAGAAGCTGAAGAGACAAGTACCTTCTTCTAGAACTGACAGAGAGAGAAAGCCTTCCCCTAGTTGGCACTCTGAATTTGGAGTTCTGGCCTCATAAACTGTGAGAAAGTACACTTCTGTTTGTTAAAGCCATCTTCTTGTGGTATTTCTGTTACAGGAGCACAAGGCAATTTGACAAGTGCCTTGCCCGTGTTTCTGCTTATCTTTTAGTGGCAACGGTAGTCACATGACCCTTCTTAACTACAAGTTGACTAGGAATGTCATTTCCTCATGAGTAGTAAAGAGAGCAAGATGCAGCAAGATAAACCCTTGCAGTCTTTCCCATAAGCAGTCACACAGTAGGTAGGTGCTCAGCAAAAAGAAACACTGCTATACTTTGTCCTGACAGCAGACCTCTTGAAACTTGGAGAAGTTTGTGAGAAGGCCAAAATATTTTTGCAATTCACCTAATTTTTCTAGTGCCTTCTATGTGACAGTTGTTTTCACATACAGGATCATACTAATTTCCAGAAGGACTCTGTAAATCACATCAAGAAGGATTCACTCTTCCTTACTCAACAACATCTTTCTGCATTGTCCTTTGAAATAACCTCTGTAATGTCAATAAACTGAGAATTTTCTTCTTCCTTTGAGTGCATGGTCAAAATTTACCTTGTGTGTCTCTGAAAGCAAGTCCAAACATTTCAACAGGTAAAATTAGGCACACTAAAAAGACTGGATTTTCTCCTGGACCAGAAAGAGACAAGAGTCAGGGGAATTACTGTAAATTATTTTTTTCAATTCTTATCCAAGCTAGCATGACTGCTGAGGAAACATTTTCTACCTCTGTGTCTGGCAGAATAATTACTCCACAAAGATGCCCATGCCCTTATCACTGGAACCTGTGGATATGCTGTTACCTGATCAATGGGAATTTACAGCTATAATTAAAGCTAGGGAAGCCAAAGTTACAATAGGAATAGTATACTGAGTTATCCAGGTGGGCCCATTTTATCACATGATGTCTTAGAGAACTTTCTCAAACTTGGGCAGGACAGAGATGTAGCAGAGGGGCGAGTTAGAGTTTCCAAGGGTGAGAAGTATTCGAGGTGCTATTGTTGACTCAAGATGTAGGGATCCATGTATAAGAACTAGAGACATGCCTCTAGGAATTCTGGAGGCTCCAAGTGGCAACTAACAAGGAAACATGTCCTAGTCCTACGAGTTGAAAGAAGTGGATTCTCTAAAGAACTAAATTTCAGGAATGATATGAAGGAGCCTAGGAGGAGATTTTTCCTAAAGTCTCATGGGAAGACCCCATTCATTTGGCTGCTTGATTCAGGCCTTTGAAACCTAGAGCAGCGACACCAGCAGAACCTACCCAAACTCTTAACCTACAGAAATATGAAATCATAATATGTGTTGTGGTAAGGCACTAAATGCATGATAATTTATTGTTAAAAAGAAGGAGGAGGAGGAGAAAATCAAATTATCTTGTGAATGGAATATGACTTTGAGAGTATATTGGAGATATTCAGGGGAATGAGTAGATGTCTAAATGTCACTGCTGTTCTGGTTACCTAGTGCCTCTGACAGAAATATACCACAAATGGGATGGTCTTAACAAACAGGAGTTTATTCTTACAATTTGGAGGCTTTAAGTACAAATTCAGAGTGCCAGGCTCTGGGGGCTGGGTGTAAGCCCCTCAACCTTGGGGTCCAGCTCTGCCTCCTGCTGTTGGCCCACTGGAGCTAGAGGCATTTTTTTCACTCAGACAGCTGCTGGCTGCTGAGGCTAAGAAGCCCCAAGGTTGACAAGTAAAAAGGCACAGTCCTGATGTTACCAAACCACACGGCAGGCCATTAACTTAAGTCCATCGTAAGTCCCAAGGTCGGCAGAGCATAGCAGGCTGCTGAGCAATGACACGGCCACATGCAGGGTCCAAGCATGCCATAGGCTAGAGACCATTTCCAAGGCTTCTCCTTATAAACAGGAAGCAGACCACGTCCCAAAGGCAGCTACTCAGCTGCTTGTGGTAGATCCCACCATGGAATAGGTTGCCCGTTTCATCATGGGGAATAACTACCACCAGCTGCCCAGCCACTCAACCAGGCCCAGCCAAGTTGACACACAAACAGAACTACCACAACTGCCAAAGTGAACAATTATATACAAGGGTCTGTTTTCATCAGAGGAGTTCAGTGGTAAGGGTGGGACAGGCAAGTGAAGGCTGTAGGGAATTGGAGGCTCTAAGTGAGGGGGTAGACAAGTGATTCTGGGCTGTCTGTTCCACTGGGTGCAGATGCAGCCTTCAAAGAAGAAGGCAGTGAAGATCTGGTCAGCAGGTCAGGATCCAGAGTTGTGTGAGAGGGCTCACTGGAGGGGTGGGGGAGTGGAGATCCAGTAGAAGGGTGCTCTACTGTAAGAATATTCTAGGACTGGACCCATGTGCCAGCACCTGGGCAGGGTCAGGTTTCTAGGATCCTGAGGATAGGGGCAGGAGAATGCTGGGAAAATGAAGCCCAGACACAATCCTCAAATTTTATTTAGTTTTCATTTTTCCTTTCTTCATCGCGCCTGCTTTTTCACATTGACCACAGAATTTTTTTATTGCCTGAGACTTGTTGTGGGGTAGTGAGAATAGAAATGAGTTAAGAGACACAAAGTCTGTCTTGGACTGGGAAGAGTGGACAATTGTGAGCTCTAGCCAGATTCAGACCCGGGGTCCAGTACCAATTCTGTCACTTGCAAGCCCTTTGAACTCGAGAAAATTGCCAAGTTCCATGAGATCCTTCATCTGTGAAGTGGACTTGATAACCAGCCTTCTTACCCACTAGCTCATGTATACATTGTGAAGTAGGGCTGTGGGGATGTATGTTAAGTTTGTAACCCACCACTGCCACTGAGTTGATTCCAATTCATAGTGACCCTATAGGACAGAGCAGAACTGCATCATAGGCTTTTCAAGGCTGTAAATCTTTATGGAACGAGACTGCCTCATCTTTCTCTTGCAGACAGGCCGGTGGGTTTGAACAGTTGAACTTTTTTTTTTTTGTTACCATCCGAATGCTTTAACCATCACACCACCAGAGCTCCTTTATGTAGGTATGAATCTGGCATAGTGCCTAACATGTGCTAGGCCTTTAATAATTGGCAATTATCGCTACTGTGTTACTATTTTGATCACCTCCTCTACCAAACTGTGCTCTGAGATTTTTCCCCTCAAGAGGTATCAGAGAATAAGCCACACTCTAGATGTGGCATATGAAGTCAGCCAAAATCTGCTTAGCAAGTGAAAACTGTTACTTGCTAATAAGCAACTCTGTGAGGACACTTACTTTATGTAGAATGTGGAGCAGTCTTCTCCAGGTGGAAGCACCTCCAAGCTCCTAGAATTTGGACCAAGGACTACCTTCTTCCCACCCTCCCCACTTCTCTTCCATCTAAACCACCCTATATGCATTTATTTCACCTCTAGAAAAATAAATTCCTTGCTTACAGTTGGCTACATTAGTCAAGATAACCTGATTAAAATGCACTTTTAATGGAGTAAAGGATCCCAGATAGTGCAGTGGTTAAGACATTCAACTGCTAACCAATAGGTCGGTTCAAACCCATCAGCTGTTCTACAGAAGAAAGATGAGGCAGTCTGCTTCCTTAGACTTAAAGCCTTGGAAACCCCATGGGACAGTTCTACTCTGTGCTAGAGGGTCTTTATGATTCCGAATCTACTCAATGGCAGTGGGTGTGGCTTTCATCTGGATTTCCCACATTTCTTCACACCTCTTTTTTATTTGTCCTTTAAGTCATAGGCTTTATCTCACCATTCTCCTTATATGATAGCTGCTCCTAGACTCTACAACTCCATGAGCAGAGACTAGGTCTTCTGTATCCTAGCATTTTCAATACTATCATAGAGTCTTCCAAAGAACACATGTTCAATTAATGTTTGAAGAATAACAGAGCCAGTGAACGAGAGGTACAATTTATTAGGATGGAATTTTATCTACATTCTTGAATCGGCTAAGCATATTCAGGTATGCATCGTTTAATTTTACAGAATAGAAGTGGTAAGTGAAACTAAGAATTAATCATTCCTTTACTTTCATTTTAATGTCTTGATGCCAAATACTTTATGCTGAGTTCTTTCATATTTCCAAGGAAATACCTTTTCCAATGTCATGTTATCTTATTCCAAACGACTAAATAAGATTGAACATTTCTTAATTTGTTTTATAAAAGAGAAAATCTCTTAAGACTTATTAAAAACAAAACAAAACAAAACAAAAAAAAGCTCACTGCCGTCGAGTTGGATCTGACTCATAGAGATCCCTCCTTGGATTTCTGAAGTAGTGTCACTACAGAAGTCGATTGCCCAAACTTCCTTCTGAGGAGTGGCTGGTGGCTTTGAACCCCCACCTTTCTGGTTAGCAGTCAAATGCCTTAGGCACTACACCACCAGAGCTCCTATTAAGACTTATACACAGCAGTAAATATTTGACCACTCTCACAAACTTAGATTCTGAAGCTAATTAGAATTTCTATTGAAAGGAACAGTGTTTTCTAAAAAAGTATTCAAGATACCACACAGAACAGGAACACAAACGTGATAAATACGGTATTGCCTCTAACTCTAACCCAACTACTCCAGTACTTAGAATGTTGGCTGTCATCTTTAAACACAAAGCAAAGAATTTTCTTTAGATTTCACTTGAAAAAGAAAAAGCTTTTGGACTTGGGCTTGCTGGGTGTGGCCTTGGAACGTGCACTGGCTATGGCACTAATTTGAGCCTTGGCTTCAACTCTGGCTCGAGCTCTCGCTTCTTCATCTTCCAAAGCTTCTTCATACAGGAATGGGAAGGCACAGGGGATGGTATTATGGACCTTGGCCCAAAACTCCAGGACTTTCATCTTACTTGTTTCAGCGTGAGCCCTGGGACCCCACAGGAACTCATAATTTGGAGGATCACTGTTGGGTACTTGCTGGTACTCCAGATACTTTTGCATTACCATATCTCTGGTGATGAGCATCCTGGGCTCCCCAAAGAAGAAGTGATTCTTGCCAGCATATAACCCCAATGCATTCAACACTTCCCAGACTTGCTCTTCAGTGGCACAGTTGCCCTTCGTGAAAATTACACCCAAGACAGTCATCAGAATACCTGTCTTGGGCATACCTCTGTCATCACTCAGATTCCCATCACAGCTTAATTCCAATTTGTTGATGAGGACATATATATGCCTGTTAGGGTCTATTTCCTTCAAGTCAAGGCCAAAGATCAGCTCAAGGTTCTCAGAGGCTCTCCTAAGGATTTCAGAATAGTGATTCTTATGAAATTGTATTATATTTTTCATAATTTCTGCCTTTGTAACGAGCTCTTTCATTTGATACTTGTACAGCAGGTAATATACCAATATAATCACCTTAATTTCTAGTTTGTCTTTGTACAACTTCTGAGTGGTGGTCTGGGCCTGCCTAGAGCTTAACCTTTCTTGGTGGTTGACATCTTCATTAGCTCTTGTGTAAAAAACAGCTACATCAGAAGTGATGGTGGGATTGGTGCATGACCCAGCAGCTGGTAAAGCTTGGGGAGTACTCTTGAAATGAGGAGAGGAAGAGTAGATGGACTCCTCTTCAACTGCTGCAGTGGCCTGATCACCCTCTACTTCCAGGGTCTCTTCTTGAGTCTGGCAGCGTTTCTTACGGGCACGGAGTTTACTTTTCTGACCCCGAGGCATGATGAGTCCGATGAGGGACAGAGCACAGGAGGGCAAGTGATGTGGACACCTGGAGAAGAGAGGATGAGATGGTGTACAACCCTTCATCAGAGAGACAATATCTTGGTTTTAATGAAGAAAAATTCTGCAGGTTTCCTTGAGGCCACTGCTCTAAGAAAACACTAGGCTTCTGTTCTCTGATTAGCCTGTCCCCTGAGGACTATGAAGGAACTACAGTATGCCTTAGGCTGCTGCCTGCCAGCTCTACCTGGGGCTTACTAGGGTATCAGGAGGGGCTGCCAGATGGGCCCTCTCTGTTCTAGGACTTGGAGGACCCTCTTCATTCATATTCAGGAGCATCAAACCAACTATTGGCAGGGCCCAGACACTACAGAGGTTTCAGTTCTGGGCGGAAGGTGTTTCTCTCAGTTCACATTCAGGGCCATCACCTTGACTTCTAGTAGAACCTGGGATCTCTCTGCTCTACTTCTTTTATGCTGATCCCTCATACCAAAGCCCAGAGGAGGAATTGAGGAGGCAACTAATCTGACCATATCTGCCTGGGATATCCAGTTATGACAACAGTGGTGGACCTCTATGGGACCCTCTTTGTTCTGGAGTAGTTAGGGTTTTAGTCCTGGTAGGGCCCAGGATTCCTCCCTCTGCTTACTTGAGATCTATTCCCTAAGAACAAAACCCTCACATCCCTGAAACCCTTGAGGAGGAACCTGAGGAGCCTCAGCCTAAAAATAAATGTCCCAGTATTTCTCAGGGCTGATAGCACTGGTAGGGCTCTCTGGAACTCCCACTTTTCTGAGGCATATGATCCCCACAGTCCTCACTCAGCATCTTTATCTTGTCTCCTGACAATGCCTTGGACCCCTCTTTCTTCTGATCTGAGATCTATGCCCTCAGACCAAAATTTTTCACCTATCTGAAAGCCAGAATTAGAGTGCAGAGCCTCCTCATCCTGTCACACTTGTCTGGGGTCTCCCAGGGCTAAAAGAAGGTTATGTATATGTTACCTTCTGTTTTATGGGGTGGGTGATTCCTTCAATTCTTAGGTTCCTTATCTTACCTCTTCACCTTGTCTACCATGTCTCCTCTCCTTTACTCCTTTACTCCCTAAGAGCAGAAGTCTCACCTCCAAGAATCCCCTCTATCCATATAGTGAGGAGGTGTCTCAGATTGAAAACTCTTTTTATAAGACATCACAGAGCTGAGAAGGAACAGGACTCTTTGGTGTTCCATCTGCTCAGGGAAGTATAGTTCTCTCAGTCCTGAGGTTTCTCATCATTATTCCTCAACTTGACTGCCCTCCCACTGCAGACAGGAGGTCTATTCCAATCAGACAAAAGGCCCTCATCTCCATGATATGCTGGAGGGGGCAGTCAGCTGGCACTCACATTGTTCAGAGCCTCCAGGGGCTGACTACAGGAGTAAGGCCTGATTCTGTGCCCCTTCTTCTTATGTGGGTAGTCCTCTGAGTTCTCACTCAGGGTCTTCACATTGACTTCTAGAAGTGTATGGGACCCTCCCTCTAATGACCTGAGGATACTCCTCTCAGATACAAAACCTCAACTCCCTGAAATCACCTAAGCACAAAGTGAGGCAGTGCCTCAGCCTCACAATCTTACCCAAGGGCTCTGGAGAGAACAGTGGGCATGGGGCTGTGTTAAAACCAACCAAACAAACAAACAAACCAAAAAACCACCTCACTGCCGTGGAGTCTATTCTCATATAGAACCCCTTCTTGGGTTTCCGAGGCAGTAACTCTATGGAGAATGAAGACGTAAGTTTGCAGCACATCTGCCCACCCTCCCCTGAGTTTGAACCTCCAGCCTTCTGGTTAGCAGTCAATTGCCTTAGTCCTCATTTATTCCTGAATCAGTGTTTTCCTCAGACCTCAGTCAGGAATTTTACCTTACCCTCTGGTATGTATGAACTTCTCTGTCTGCTGACTTGAGATTACCCTCCTCTCCTCATACTAAGACCTTCACTTCCCTAAGACACCAAAGACAGAAATCAGGAAGCCTGACATCCCTTTTCCTTCACCTGGGCCTCCCATAGCAGACAATATGGTCTTTGGCTCTTTAAGGCTCCCTTTGTTCTGAGGGGGCTGGTCCCGTTTAACGTCACAAAGCGTCCTTGTCTTTACTTATTTGAGGACCTGAAATACTTCCCTACTCTAGTCTGAAGCTGAACCCCTTGTTCAATGTCCTTATCTCTTTTAGTTCCCTCAGGGGGAATGCAGAAGGCGCTCAGAATTTGCTACATTAGGCTATCTCTGTCTGGTCCAGACAGCTCTGAACTCTGTGGAAACCCCTGCAATCTAGGGTTGGTCATCCCCTCAAACCTCATGCAGGGACATTACCTTGTGGTAAACTTCACAGAGACACTCAAACTTCTCCTTCGGCAAACCTGGTACCACCACAGCAATTCCTTGACTCACCTCAGACACGGAAGAGGAAGACATAAGGTTGCGTCACATCCGCCCACCCTCCCCTGGGGTCTCTCAGGGCTGACAGCAGGGGCAGGCTCTTCGCAGCCCGATCTGTTCTTGAGTAAATGGTTCCTTCAGACCTCGCCCAGGGTTCTTTGCTTTAAGGTCTGGGACCCTTCTTCTTGCTGGACTGAGGTGGAACCCTGGATTCATGGAGCGCTATGCCAGAAAAAATTCACAGTGCACCCAGAGAGCAATGTATCAAGGGACCCCTGGCGGAGCCATCCAGGGCTGACAAAAGGGGCGGATTTTTGTGAGGACCCTTCGTTTTGAAGTAGTTGATCCCCTCAAACCTCATTGTTGACACTTGTCTTAATTTCTGAGGCCTAAAAACCCTCCTTAAGCTTTCCTGACACCACAAACTGCGGACCTGTCTTCATTTCCCTAACACCCAGGAGGCAGAAGGCAGGGGAAGCCACTTCCAGTCACTTCTTCCATGGACTTCTGAAGGTTGACCAGAGTGGTGGGGTTTTGAGCTGTCCTTTCTGTTTTGGGGTTGGTAGCTCCTTTAGACATCACTTAAAGTTTTCATCTTTACTTTTATTAGGACATAGAACCTCTCCCTCTGCTGGTCTGAGTCCCACGCAATGGTCCACTTTGCTCAATTTGCAGGTTTACATTTTATTACATTCACTACAGATCATGTGATGACTTTGAAGATAGCTAGAGCAGAAACTTTATTATTATTATTTAATTAGTGAGTTGGGGTTGTTAGAAGAATAAAGATACAGTTTTGGAACCCATATATCCCAGTCACCAACTACTCAAAAACTCACTGCTGTCGAATTGGATCCCACTCATAGGGAGCCCTCCTTGGGTTTCCCAGGTGGTATCGCTGTGGAAATAGATTGCCCAACCTTCCTCCCGAGGAGTGGCTGGTGGATTTGAACTGCCAGGCTTCTGGTTAACAGTCAAATGCCTTAGGCACTACAGTTAGTTTAATTTAACAAGGGACTGCAACATCTCCAATGGTTTACACCCACCCTATAAATATTTCCATTGTGGGCCTGCCCCCTATTCCACTGAGCGTCTGTTGTACATAGGTAAGCACACAGCCACAACACATCAGCACTCTGGCATGAAAATAATTCAGGAACCATGGAAGACAGGTTGAGTGGTGATTTCATTTAGATTTCCAGATATTTCCACTTTCAATTCTTTTTTCAATTGTGGTAAATATAAATATATAACAAAATATTTGCCATTTCAACACATTTACATGTACAACACAGTAACATTAATTGTGTTTACTATGTTGTGCAACCATCACCACTATACATTTCCCCTACCAGAAGCCCAATGCCCCCTAAACAATGACTCTATTTTTTTTTTCTTCTCCCTCCCATCCCTGCTGACCACTAAGAACTTTGGTTTCTATAAGCTTATTTGCAGAATCACTACAGTACTTAGCCTCAGGGAATTCCCACTCCAATCCCCCACTCATTGCAACTGCACATCTCCATCCACTATTCATTAGCACTCCTTACTGTTTTCAGCTGTCATCACTCACCAATCCCCCATCACTGTCACATCCCCAATCTCAGTGGAGGTGGGCCACCGTGCCCACAGGAAGAAATATTTCTCATAAGACTCAAGACAGCTCTTAGTCCTAGTACACTGTGAAGGATGCACAGGGCTACCAGACTCTTCCGGAATCTACTGATAGCATCACTGGACAACTCAGAAGAGTCAGCTACATTCTATGTCAAAGTGGTAGGAAATATTCTAAGGTAGTGTGGGTTATCAGGCATGACCCTCTAGTCTGCCCACACAGATCACCACACAACTTCAGGCTGGTTATGATGAATCAGAGATTTTCAATGCCTAGATGGCACATAACAACAACAACACAAATTCATCTAGGTTGTACAGGACCCTCCAAAAGACTTCTCACTTTCTCTCCTTCTGGTCTCTTCTCTACACTGCACTGAAGTGTGAACTGGGCTCTCCGGACTTTGTTTTATATGTAATATCTCTCACTGACGCTGGAAAATGCTCTGCCCTCCAAGTCCTTCCTATGCCCTTCACTGGCTGTGGGTGTCCTGTGTGGACTCATTTCCTGGAACCTGGTCATTCTGACCCAATCTTTGGTCTTTAAGTAAAGGCAAATGCCAATTGACATTTGGAAATTTTGAACCATGTCTAGAGGAATTCTGATATTCACAACATCATTATAGAAACCACACTTTATATTGGTAAGAAGTGAAATTAATTTTCAGCTAACTAAAAGACAGGGAAATACAAACTAAAATAACAGTGAGACAATGTATTTTCACTCAAAAGTTTGACCAAAATTTAGAAGACTGATAAAATAAAATGCCTGTGAGAGTGTAGGTTATTCACATTTATTAATATGTGAGAATATGAATTGGTGCATCTTTATGGAACAGAACTTAAGCAATATTTATAAACATTTAAAATCCTCACATTCTCTCATTTTAATCCAATTTGCACTCTGCTATGTCTTCCTTATGAGAAAACATGCACATTTGCCCAAGAAGTCATGTTCCAGTATTTCAGTTCTATTAATTACCAGCAACAAGTGGAAAATAAATTATATATCCATTAGCAAGAGAATGATTAAATTAATTCTGGCATGCATGCATACAAAGACATACACACACGCTTACTTTAGAATTCCAGGAAGCAGTTAAAAAGTGAAGTAGATCAACATGTGCTATCATAGGAAGATCCTGTATTCTTTTTGTTGAGTGAGTAGCACAAGAGACAGAACAGTATGTATATTGTTACTCATGTATGTTAGAAACTCAGAATGTATTTTTATCGCACTACTTTGTAAGAAAAATCCCAGAATAAACTTAAAGATAATGTGCACAATCTTTTTAATTGTGGTTAGTTATAAGGAGGTGGCTGAAGTTTGGAGAAATGTAGTAAGGGAGTGGAATTGTCATTTATCCGTATTGTTAGAATTCTATGGCAGCAAGAATATATTCACTATTATGTTTATTTAAATTAAAATATTTAAGTACTTCTGACAACAGAAATAGTAGCTGTGTATTAGTCAGATAAAGGAACTGCTAGTGGATGCCGTGGAAAAGTCTGAAACCTGAATAGCTTGACACAACAAAAGTTTATTTCTTGTGCATTTAGAACCTAATGTAGGTTGTCAGGGGCTCTCAGCTGTCCAGTCATCCAGGTATCCAGGTTGCTTCCATCATGCAGTTCCACATCTCAAAGAGGGCTCTACATATTTGCTGCTGGACACAACATAAAATATGGAAGTGGCCTACTGTCTTGAAAATGCCTTGCCTTGTAAGTGACAAACATGGCTTCTGCTCATCTTTAGTGGCAAAGGTGGTCACATGACCCTTCCTAATGACAAGTGGACTAGAAACATAGTCTCCCATGAACCTAGTAAGGAGAGCAAGACCCAATGTGGATGAGTCCTTGCAGTGTCTCCCATAAGCTGTTACATTACTCACTGCCATCAAGTTGATTCCGACTCATAGCAACCCCCATTGGGTTTCCAAGGTGGTAAATCTTTACAGAAGTAGATTGCCCCATTTTCCTTCCACAGACCAGCTGGTGGGTTTGAAGTGCTGACCTTCTGCTTAGCAGCCAAATGCTTTATCCACTATACCACCAGCTGTTACATAAACTAAAAAAGCAAACTCACTACCATCGAGTCAGTTATGACTCATAGTGACCCCTACTGGGTTTCCAAGGCTGTAAATCTTTATGAAAGTAGATCTCCCCATCTTCTTTCTGTGGACACATAGTATGTACTTAATTAAGAACAACTATTAGAATTAGTCATGAAAAAGCCAAAATTTCCTCATAATTTGCTAACATTTCCAAGTGCCCACTATGTGACAGTTGTTTTCAAATTCAGCATCACATCAATTTTCAAAAGGACTCTGTAAATCTCAGTAAAGGGTGACCCTTTCTTCACTCAATAGCACTTTTCTGAAGTGACCTATAATTCAACAAACAGAATCTCCTTCTTCCTTTGGGTGCATGGTCAAAATTATGATTTCTGTGTTTCTACTATCAATACCTGAAGAAAATGTTTGAACATTTGGGTAGGTGCAATTTTAGGCACACTGAGAACCCAGGATTTTTCCCTGGGGCAGACATGCACAAGAGTCAGGGGAAGGATGGTGGATTCTTTTTTTCTTTGATTCTTATCCAAGCCAGCATGTCTACTGAAGAAACATTTCCTACTTAGGTGGTTGACAGCAAAATTTCTCCACAAAGATGCCCATGCCCTTATCTCTGGAACCTCTGGCTATGTTATGTTACATGACCAAAGGGAATTTGCAGTTATAATTAAGGTTAGCAAACTAAATTTAAAACAAGCATAGTATATTGGACTATCCAGGTGGGCCCATTCTTTCATGTGATGTTATAGAAGCAGAGAACTTCCTCAAGCTGGGATAAGATAGAGATGCAACGGAGGAGAAAGTTAGTTTTCAAGGGTGAGAAGGATTCACTGTGCTTGTGCTGCCTCAAGATGTAGGGGCCTGCGTGCAAGGACTGGAGAGAGGCTTCTAGGAACTATGGAGGCTCCTGGTGACAGCTAGCAATTAAACACATCCTAGTCTTATAAGTTCAAAGAAGTGATTCCCCAAAAGACTGAATTCCAGAAATAACCTGAGTGAACTGGGGAGGAGATTCTTACCAGAGCCTATGGATGAAAGTCCCAATAGATAGCCACAGCTTGAATGGGCCTTTGAAAGCCAGAGCATAAAAACCAGTAGAGCCAAGGGGAATTTCTCACCTACTAAAATGGGTGTTGCTGTAAGCTGCTAAACCTGTGGCAGTTAATGTATCAATAGAAAACCATTATATCCTTTTGTAAGGACTCTAGATTTGAAGGAATACAGAGGCTGTAGATGGTTGCTACACAGTGATTTCCAGGGTCCTTCTTAATCTAGCATGTATAAGAGAGCCTTTGGCTTTTGGCTAGTGA